TCTGATGGATTAGTCAACGGAGCAATAAAAAAATCAAGTGGCCAGCCCTTCGCCGTGACCAACTAGAAGCAGGAGAACTGCCCGAAGCAGTATTGATTAAATTTGATGACGAGACCTTAGGCACTAGGGTAAAAGATGCGGAGGGCCTAGTTTCAATCGCATCAACATCTGCAACTTTTCAGGCCAATAAAGGTTACGGTGATGTCGAGAGGTTAATGCTGCCACTAATTTTAAGTTGGGCTGTCACCGGTCACAAGCTCCAAGGTACGACATTGGAGAGGGCGATGATAAACCTCGGAAAAAAAAATTGCAAAAGGTCAGATATATGTGGCTTTAAGTCGAGTGAAGAATTTAGATGGTGGCATTAAGTGATTTGGAACCATCTAAATTATTACACAAACCACATGATGACAAAGCACTACAGGAAATACAACGATTAAGACAGTTAGGTCTAGATTTTTTTTTTACTTATTTTTAAAATTTCCCTTTAATTTATTTCTTCGTTCCGAGATTTTATATGCAATCGTATTGGTTATAATATTTCTCAATTTCTCTACTCCGCAAGCTCGCTCCGCTTCAATGACAGGTAGCCTAAGACCCACTTATCGGGACACGGGTTAATAGTAATATGTAATCAACTTAAATGAAAACTCCTAAAAAGGCCGTACACAAACTAAAATTATATCATCCAAGTAAACAATAATATTCATTAAAAATGTTCATAAAATAATATATAATCAACTTAAATGAAAACTCCTAAAAAAATGTTCATAAAATAATATATAATTAACTTAAATGTAAACTCCTAAAAAGGCCGTACACAAACTAAAATTATATAATCCAAGTAAACAATAATATTCATTAAAAATGTTCATAAAATGAAAACTACTGGGCCTAACTATGTTAAATTTTTATGTGACCAAATGGCAACTATTCCGCATCAAACTAAAGAAGAATCACGTAAATCGGATCATAAATCTCAGAGTAATCGGTGTACATACATTAAAAAAAACATACCAATCGAATTGAGAACCTCCTCCTTTTTGAATTCGGTTAATTTTATAAAGTCTTACAGATTTCGACTAAATTATATTGATGTATTACTCTGTCAAGACAGTACCGGTTGAAGATCAATAATACACAAAATGTTTGTTATTCATCCAAATTTATTTCAGTACCTTCAAAGTATGCTCCTTTAGAAACGATACACTTACGCCACGAATAAGACACTCATCAAAAAAATAATTAAAACGCTGTTTCCGGAATTGAGTTCAGTTCTCGCCGTGAATTCTTCTTTATGTCTTCTACCGATTGAAAACGGGTGTCACGACGTGGTCATTTTAGTTTAGGAAAAATAAAGAAGTCGCCTGGAGCCATATTTGGTGAATATGGTGGTTGCTCGAGGGTATTTGTTGAGTGTTTGGTCAAAAAATCGTTCACAATGATGGCGATCGATCGATCGATCGAATCGATAGATTGAAGAAAATCCAAGAATTTACTTTTCTCAAATCTGGCCTTTTTCGTCGAATTTGCTCTTTTAAATGCCGCATAACACTTAAATAATATTCATTATTTACCGTTTGACCTTCCGGCAAGAATTCTGAGTACACAACACCGCGATAGTCAAAGAAAACAGTCAACATAACTGTGACTTTTGATCGATTTTGGCGTGGTTTTTTCGGTTTCGGTTCAGTTTGAAGGCGCCACTCCGAAGCTTGTTGACTAGTTTGCATGTCAAACCCGTAAACCCACGTCTCGTAACCAGTAACAATGCGTTTCATGAGTGTTGGGTCGGAATTGACTCGTTCTAGCATGTCCTCAGCGATTCTCATGCGATTGAGTTTTTTGAGAAAATTCAGGTCTTTTGTTAGCAGAGCGATAACATGTTTCATGCCCAAAGGATTAGTTAAAATGGTACTGATCGCCTTGTGAGATACAGAAAGTTCGGCTGCTATCTCTCTCAAAGTTGAATGAGGATTTTCAGTCACAATTTTCTTTACTTTTGCGATGTTAACTTCAGTTGCAGACCGTGATGGCCTACCAGAGCGAGGCAAATCTTCCATCACATCTCGACCGCTTTTGAACGCTTTGTACCACTCATAAGCACGTGTTTTTGATAAATTCGGTTCACCGTAAGCTTTCTGTAACATTTTCAGTGACTCCGAATACGAAATTGCATTGGCGATGCAAAGTTAAGACAAACTCTTTGTTCGATGTGTTTGTCCATTATGAAATTCGCAATACACACTAGATATGATATAGCTAAATAACAGATGTGATCACACGCCGCGGCAATATGGCAAACAGTTGTGCCAATATAACAACACCACACAACAACATAAACAAATCATCCATTCCCAATACTTTTTTGACTGAATGTATTTCGACGTCTATATGAATTGAAACGTAGATGAAATTATAAAATAAATCTACGTAAACTGTCTAAACAGTTATCAAGAATCAGAATTTTGAGTTCTGAATTTTTTTTTGTAATATTTTTGTTGTATAGTTTACTTTATGCTCTTTTTCGAATCATGATAAATTGGTCTCATAAAAAAGAAACGAATGAAAATAATAAGGAGAAAACATACTAATTGTTGAACAAAACTTTATCACAAAACTTTAGTACAATAATTTAACCGCCGACAATGACTACTCATTTACTGCTAATATCCCTAGGACAAATTACTTTGATATCTATCTTAAATCAACATTCTTCTTTTCCTATTTTTATCAGAAATTACGAATTGTTGTACCATTCTGTACCATGGTTCTTTTACGCATGCGTTAACGGTTGTTTGCCAACGCAACCAATCTGTTAGCAAACATTTTGCCTTAGTGTGACACAAATTAGTGTTCATTCCATAGTTTAGTATTAAACTAGTATCTACCTTGTACCCAGTAATGTACTGGTTATATGTGTAAACTGTAAATCGGTGTTATTAACTTCAACCTGTTACATATAGCTGAACTTGAAGGTAAGGTTTTTTGTTTGAGCATAAAGAGTAGAAAGGGAATGGAAATCAAAACGTCAGTTTTTAATACAAGAATAGTTTTTTAATACATTGAAATTTATTAATACTTATTGGAGAAATATGTACAAATACATAATTATGTAGGTAACATTCTCACAAATTCCAAGAGTTCTTACCTTTCTTTTTTTTAAAGACAACTCCCGCACTATAGTCGATCTAATCTAAGTGGTACCATTTGACAGTTCTGATAGATTGAAGTATAGCGATGAGGTCAATAAATCGATTACTAAATTATCTGATTCTTCAGAGATTTCGATATCATTTCGTAGTATGTACTAATCGAAGAAAGTTTTACAGATTTATGTATGTTACTGTAATAGCCCGTGTAATGACACATCATAGGTTCTATTAGTAAATCTTAGTAGGTATACACTGGTCTTCGACACTAGCGATTTTTGCCTACAAAGATTTATTTAAAATTACGTTAACTTACATACTTTTAAATGCATAATTTTTGTTGGGATATCGTTAACCGATGAATTTTAAGTATTATTAAACACTAAGATGCCTGGACTCAAAGTTACTCGTTATTAATAAATTTGATTTTTCTTACATTTTAACGATTAACGGTAACGGTATAACGGTTTTGGTAACATAAATGAAACGAACACAGAGAAACAATTTGTGGATCACACAAAGTGTTGTCCCATGTGGGGATCGAGTTCACAACAATCAGCGCAGACTAATGTGACGAGGTGACCGCTTAAACCACTACGCCGTTCAGTCGGTTGAATAGCGCGCACGATAAGTATTTGGCAAGAGTTGTAGCTGGTTACTAACTCACCATGTTAATGCCGACAAGTGCTCGTGATAGAAGATTGAAATCGAGATTTTAAAATAAAATGAAATTCGTTAAGACCACCTAATCAACGCCTATCAATTCCTTTCATATTACGTCATAATATAAAAAAAATATACGTAATAATGTAACACGCAAAAGTGTTTTAATAATATTTTGAGAAAAATCTTTATTCCAATTACCTAGAAAATTACTTAGGAATACACAATTAGGAATCAAATGCAACTTCTTTTTCCGAACCATGAGTTTTACTTTGAAACAATGTCTGAGAATTGTCGTGAGTTCAAAAGTTTTAGAAGGGAAGGCATTTTTAAAATGAAAAGCCCTCAAACTTTCGTCGTAAAATGTATATTTCTCGTTTTACATGGCGCTAAAAAATGTGTATTAAAATTCTGCGTAAAAAATCTTACCTTTCTGCGCGGCCATTAGTAGTTGGCTATTTTTAATATAACATTCTTTTGTACAAAACGAAAAAGTGACTTCGCAATGATAACAAAATGGTGACTTTTTAATAACGTATCATTTACTTAGTAAAAAGCTTTATTTGCCAGTATCGGACTGTTTCGTTCTGAGTAGCTACCCTACTCAGAACGAAACAGTGCACAGTAGCACAGTGAGTCGATTGTTTTTGCATCGCGTTGCTATGATTTTCAATTTCAATTTAATTTATTGCATTCAATAATATACATTCAGGTGGTTCGGACATCTGACACAACGCCATCTGGTTTCAAACTAAGCCGAGCTTATATTATGAAAGCTAGATTGGCTGATAGAATACTTTTATAGATAGATAGATAGGTGGATAGATAGATAACTCTTTATTTGCACACTAAATTACAGAGTTACAAGAAAGGAACACAGCTATCAAATATCGAGTGTACAAAGGGCGGCCTTATTGCTAAATGCAATTTCTTCCAGCCAACTTTACTTTATACTTTTTTTTTGTAAATACATACATATTATACATAGAGAACATCTAAATTCCGAAACAAATATTTGCAGATCATACAAACATTTGGTCCGACTCGAGAATCGAACCCGAGATCTTAGCTCAGCAGTCGTATACGCTACCACTGCACCATCGAGGCATTCTCTAATCTGTCAACTAATTGAAATGCAGGCTATAATTGTATTCTTTTAGATACATTGCACAAGAAAGGATTATAATGAGCGATTCAGACAGTGAAGATGAAAATACGTCTCTTCCACCAGTGCAGAATTCTTCTTCCGAAACAAGTTATGATGAAGAAGAGGAAAAAGAAGCGAAGCCAGAACCTGTGGAGACCGAAGAAAAGAAAGATGAAACTTTGGTTCAGTCAGGTTTGCTTCTTTTTTCATTAATATTGTTAGTAGCTTATTTCAGGAATCACCAGTTGTCAACTAATGTAATGAACCCTTTCGTTACATTAATAAAATAAAAGTGTGTTTACAAAAAAATAATTAAAAATAAAATACCATTCAGGTCATGTTCAAAATCCTGTAATTTTGTCTTGGCTAAAGCTAGAATCCTGAATTTTCAGTAACATATAGAACATAATATGACTTAGATATATTCTTTATATCATTCAGTTTGAAATTGTAATTTAAGAACTATTACCCGTCAAAGTTCCTTAGTTTTGTTACTGATACACTCACTGCCTGACTGATCATCATAATTCTAAGGTAGCACTATTGAGGCTAGTAACCCACAAGATTCAAATTTTAAAGTTAATTTGTTTTTAGACTATCAAGTCATAAAACACCTAAAAATATTGCAATTTCTGTCATGACTCAGAGATATACAAACTGCATAAGTAAGTTTGTAATCCTATACAAATACATGCGATACAAAGTTACTTTTGCATTGTCTGTGAAAGGTAACAAGGCATAGGTACAGTGCACTATACGACGTACTCATAAATATGATTACAGATATAAGTATGAGTATAACAAATAGGTAAGAGTATGGTATAATATATATTTGGATATGGGCATCGTATGGTTTAAGTCTTATATATTTGCCATATGTACAGCTTATGCTATAGCCATACATAAAAGTGAGGGTCTAAGTCTAAATAGTGTTCTGATGGATTTTGGTTCTACAGTATTAACAAGCGGGCAAGCGTACGTGACACTCCCGAGAGTGACAAGTTTGGGAGAGAGAGTGACAATGCAGTGCTTCTACAACAAGCAAGTTTTGAAATGTAATGTTAAACCAAGTCGATTATTTTAATCAGTACCGGGGTAGGGGTGTCCACAGAACTCGATTTTCACCGACTTGCCTATTATTTAACCGTTCAGGAACACATTTTATAGTTATCAAATAAAGAGTGAGCCAGATTAGCTCCAGATTGCCATGTAGATAAAGTTTGATGCTCCACTAATAACTATCCATAGAAACATCTGTCTAAAAACTTTGTCATAAATTATTAACCAATATAAATTAAATAACTAAACACGCATTATAGTGACCGTATCAATATTAGTTATCCTTATTTTTCAGTATATAGAATGACTTGGCCATCGCACACAACGCTTTACTCGTACATGTGTATTGCTTTAACTCGCTCAAAAAAGTATGAAGACGACTCTTCCATGACTGCAGGACTTTGGAAGAAAATATCATTAAAAAAATAGGATCAAAAGTAATGTTGTTCTTTGTCTGGTATAGTTCAAGGAATAAAGGTTGACCCTGATAATAGATATATAATTAAAAAAATATGATGAAATGGCTTTTGCAATATGGTAGTGTAAATATAATTGACTGTATATTGATTAATGATACTTATTTATTACTTTCATTATAAAGTTCATGTATAGTCAACGGTCATAACTGCAGTCTCACTATAATGTAACTTTACCACAACGCATAGGTTGGTCAATCCGTCAATTTCGGTAGAGAAAATTAATTTCGAATACCAGTATAAGGTCTATATATATATCTATACATATGTCTATATATATATACCCAGTGTCTTGGGAAAATGGTATACACATAACATGATAACCACATACGACAGAATTATTATGATTTACTACAATAATGAAACTAAACATTAGATTAGGGATCGTACAAGAATAAATATTTTATATTTTAAGTGCATGTTTTATCGATATGGTCTCCGAAAGTGGTAACTCTGTATTAAGCGCCTATATATAATTTAAGTTGCAGGATTATGAACCTTTATATGTAATGTAATGAATAGCCTGTAATTAATTAGGTAGTTAAAAATATTTGTTTCATATTATTTCTATAAATATCTGAACCTTTTAGTTAGTAATTTGTTTTTTTGTTATTATACGTTATATATGAGTATCTATACATTTTTTATTATAATTTAGAATAAAAAAAGATAACTCTTAAGTGTGGCACATCACTATTGCAATAAAAGTAGCAACCCATGTAATGTCAGTTTAGTCTCTATGGTTATGAAACAGGCACACATCATCATCATCATCTCAGCCAAAAGACGTCCACTGCTGGACATTGGCTTCCCCCAAAGTTCACCACAACAAACGGTAAAAATTGAAATCACACATAGACTCATGTTGTATATTCTACCTTCTTTAATCAGTGTTGAGTGATTGAGGTGACGTTAATATACAAGCAAAAAGATTTTATCTCAATTTATACATACTCCTTTCAAGTATTGTTTGTATGATTATATATATTTTGAAATAGATTAATCTGTCAAATGATTGTTGTACATTTCACATAATCATCAGAATACATTTTACTACTGAATATTCATTCTTCCAGTTCAAGATAACGATATCAAGATGACGTCGTCCACGTCGAGTCATGTTCAGCGAAAACCGCGAAGAAAAAGATTTATACCAAAATATGATGTTGAAGGTGTAGTAAAAGTAATATTGGGTGAGGAAACACAAATACAAATAGAAGTCGCAGTAGGTGTCCATGTGACCGTACAGTACCCTTGGAAAGAAGTACCAAAAGCTAAAATTATGGAAAACATAACTGTAGGTGGGGAATTGTCGGAATTTTTCCCTTTGAAACAAGAACTTGAGGCGTATAGTGACGAAAATATTCTAATAGGATATATTGTTGATGAGTCGAAAGATTCAGATGAATATTATGTTTGTTGCACTAAAGAAGCTAGAGATCATTGTAAGCAGCAGTCTGATAGATTTATAAAAAGACAAGAAAAGAAGTTAGAAAAAGCTTTACAAAAGAAACCTAGACCGTGGATTAGCTTAGGTAGCGAAAGAGAAATTATTGGTTTATTACCCAGAAATACTAGGAATTTGATGGAAGTTGAAATAAAGTCTAAATTTCCTACTGAATATGAACCCAGTACATTTCAGATCAGAGACGCGGATGCTGTTAGAGATGGATTCATAGAGTTAACACCATATCGACAGAAATTCAATAATGTTTTTCGACGTAGAGTTGATTGTGCTATTCAAGCAGCTCCTCCATTGATTAACAAAGCTGCTCAAACAGTATTAAGATATCCTCAAAATAAGTGGACACAGTCAATTGCAGATGCTTTAGGATCAAATGATAATGTTGAGGCAGGAGGAGGGGGAGACGTTGGCAAGCCGTTGGTAGAGGGAGAAGAACCCGCTCAAGTCAATAGCTCCGATGATGAAGGTGAAAAGGAGGCTGAAAAACCTGACGAAGCTGCTCTGGTTGCTTATAGAGCTGCATTTAGGCGTATGCGTCGAGCTTCTTATATAAAACTGTTAAATAGTTTTATTTCTTCTAAAACCGTTGAAATGAATTCAATCATAGAACTTAATACGGTTATGGATATATATTGCAATGATTATCCAAAACTAATTTTACAAAAATCAACAGATACGTATGCTACGATGACTTTTGAAGAATATGTCTGTTTTACAGATGTCAGAGCTAAAGATAAATACGTATCTTGTGCTGTATTTCATCCGATGTGGTCTGGAATCGTTGCTATTTGTTACTCGGATGGATCACCAAAAGTTATGAAGACTTTAAGTTCACGCCCAGATCCCATTCAGAGAGCTGTGTATGGTCTGAACCCTGTAATGATATGGAGCCATATAGATAGCTTAATCCCAAAACTTTATTTAGAATCACCTCGAGAAGTCAAGGCTCTATCGTTTTGCCCTTTTAATGAAAATATTCTTATTGGTGGTTGTATCAATGGCCAAGTTGTTGTTTGGGACATTACTCATAAACTTGAAAACGTTGAAAATATAGAAGTTTTAAGTGAAACAAGAGAAAAATATAAAATTGCTATGAACGCTCACATGGGATGGATGAAACCCGTACAAGACAGTGCTGTTGTAAGTGCTACTGTGTTAAGTAATCAAATGACTAGTCATTATGGACCTATAACTGATATCAAATGGCTCTCACCGAATTTCACTGTCACATCTACTGGTAAAATGATATTAAATGAAAAAGGAAAATACTCGTTACAATTTGTTACGAGCTCTGAAGATGGCAATATCCTTATATGGAACTTAACAACTGAAAATATAAATATATTTGAAGGCAAAAAAGTAAAAAAATCAAAAAGAGTTGCCAAAAGACCTTCAGGATTACTTACTGATGTTTCACCCTTTAAAATATTAGATCGTATTTTACAACCATGCTACAAGATAATTTTAGGTACAGCAGGTCAACCACAAACACTATGTTTGCAAGCTTTTGCTATGATCGTACCGCCACTTAACTATACTCATACACCAAAACCCGATGGCAAGGGCAGAAAGTATTTTAGCTGTAGTATCTTACCACAAAACAAAGAAGCAATAAATACGAACCTTTACTGCGGTTCACAGCATGGAGAAGTAGTAAAAGTATCTTGGGAAGGCCATGAGTTCAATACGGGCGAAGTAGTGAATTCTGAATACTGTGATATAAAATTTAACTGTTGTATACATGATGGGGTTGTATCTTCTTGTACTAAAAATCCCCTTATAGATAGTCTAACATTAACCGTTGGAGGAAAAATATTTGCAATTTGGAATGACAAATTAGCAGGTCGTCCATTGACCTGGAAGAAACGACCTTACCGTTTGACTGATGGAGTATGGTCTTTGTATAAACCTAGTTTACTTTTTATTTCTACCTGTGAAGGGAATCTCGAGACATGGGATTTACTACTAAGAAGCGATCAACCTATATCTGTTCAAACCCTCTCTGGTACTATGCTTACAGATATAAATTTACACACACTACCATTGACCAAAAATTTAATTGGAGTCAGCGATGGCAATGGTTCTTTTAGGATGTATTTAAATCCTCCTATATTTCAACTGGAAAGTGCTGTTTATAACGGACGAATGGAAGTTATGATTCAAAGAGAGTTAAACGTTATGAATAGTTTTTTGGAGTGGCAAGACAAATACATGAGCAGTAACCCGCAAATCTTACTTGAAATGAAAAGAAAAGAAGGAGCTATTCTGGCTGAAAAGGAAGAAGAAAAACGTAGACTTAGAGAAGAACAAGAAAAGAGACAAGAACAAGAAGCTGAAGCAAAAAGGTTAGCTAGCATGAAAGTAATTGGTCCTGAAGAAAGATGGCAAAGGATTATACAAAAACTAATAGAGCGAACGATTGCAGTCAAGAAGAGAATAAATCGAGCAGAATTAATAGAACATGAAAAACCGTTAAGAGAACTTGAAGCGCAGCGCTTAGAGAAAGAAAGAAGAATGTTGGATATAATGAAGAACCAGAAAGTAATATTCAATGACACTGTTGCTATTTTGTTCCCAGAAGCGATAAAAAAACCTGAAAAAGTAAAAAAAAGTCTTTTGTCAAGCGACAAAGAGCAACTCAAGAAAGAATACTTAGAAGATTATGAATATCTTAAGGGAAACGCTATTATTACTGTAAAACAAAACCGGTTTAAGGTACCGTTTAATTGGGATGAAACTATTGCCGAAGGTAAAGAACGAAGGCAGGCTTTGAATGCTCATGAAGCTTTTGTTAAGATGCATAAAGAAAGACTTGAAACCGATGATGATCGAGACTATCGTGAAAAACCTTCATATCATTCAGAGCCTCCACCAGCTTTAGAACCCGACCATGAAGAAGTAGAAGAGGAAAACTTGAATTTATCACTTTAGATCAATTTATTTTTACATTGTGAGTTATTTCTTTCCGTTATGGTTTCAAGATATGAGTGTATTATATAATGAGTAATTAATACATTCTTTTACTTAATTAGATCGTGAATATGAATGTTCTATGTTTAGATTGTTTTCTAATTGATACAGTTTTCAATCATTTTCGATACCGACGCCTAATAAAAATATATATTATGCTACAATTACTAAATTAAATTTTAATTATAAAGTTATATGTAGTTATTTTAAAAACAAAGTGATGACTACAGGACTTACTGTATTTAACTAAATAAAGCATACAGTGAACTATTATAAACTAGCGAAAATATTTAAAAAAATGTTTAGTCTAATTGTTTTTAAATTCATTTGATGCATTAAAAAAATTTTAAACATCAGCGGGGGCTAATACCATATTTTTAGCAATAGCAAAACGTTGTTTATTGTTGTTTGTAAACGTTATTGTTATTGATAGAAAAATGCCACCAGTGAGGGGTCGAAATATCGATCGGTGTACATGTAAAGTCGAGTTCACAATCTTAGAGACAATGAGACTGAAGAAGGGCGTAGGCAGCGTTTAGAGGCAAAGAGAATGAAATTTTCTGCAGCGAAATCTACTGCGACTCCGGAAGAACCTATACCATCGACTTTAAGCAAGGAGGAACAAAACAGATGATCAAACGTAACAATTACCTATTAACATTTTGCGTTTAGATATAATACAAAAGTCGATTACGCCGGCTATAAATCGGACGATTTTGGGACAATGAGCACTATTGTCCATATTGCAATGCTTTGAGGTTTCGTCTGGAACCGCCAGGATTATGTTATGGGAATAAAAAGGTCAAATTACAACAACTAACGACGCCACCTGAACCAAAATTCATTACTTTCAGACCAAGAACCAGCATTCAAACTTACAATAGTGTATTCCAAATGACATCATTTGGTGCAATATAACTGAAGAACGCGGTTTCAATCCAACTTTTAAGGTGTGTTTTTTACTATGTGACATATTATACACATCCATTGAATGCACACTGCACAGATTCATGTATAAAGATTTGTTTAAAAATTTCCTTATGTTCAATATTACAGATTCCAGGACGAATTCACCACCGTCCAGGAGCATTATTGTTATCAGTTGATGGTGATTACAAATTTATTCCCTGGGGAATTCTGAAGCTGAAGTAAACCAACGCTGTGCTATTGATCGTTCAGGTAGGAGAGAGATCATCATACAACTGCAAAAACGGTTACATGAGCATAATCAGTTCAATCAATCAGCGCAAATACTATTAATAAATACCAGGGCCAATTGTTACAAGCGTCTGGCATAAACCTTGAATTGCCCGGTTTTTCGCATGGGCAGTTGAACGTTGTGTGCTCGAGAGTCGGCAAACCATCGCCACATTTTTTTCTCTGTTTTTCAGAGGGAAAAAACGAAAAACATCACAGGGCATTACAAGGCATTACTATTGTAATGCCTTGTAATTTAACCTGTTGGTTAAGGTCAAATATATATTTTTTCTAGTTATTTCATTACAAGGTGGTATTGTAAACGGAAGATTTTGTCTTATTTTTTATCATTAAGCAAGGAACGTGTAACATTCCGGTACTTTTTAATTTGACGGGTAATCACTTTCGATAATCTAATGTAATCTAAATATATGGAATTATTTACAATCCAACTTATTTGAATTTACCGGAAGTTTGTGTGATATTGAGGCGTGCATAAATAATAAAACAAATATTTCAGGTAGTTTAGAAATATTCACGAAAACAGAAATATGGTGGTACGAAGTTCGCCGACTCATCTAGTTTTTTTTAATTATCAAAGTATTTCTCTAATTTAAATCTATATATAATTTGTTTGCCACATTATGGTATAAGAACAATATGACATTTCAATCCCCCCATCTTTTTCATATAACTCCACAATAAGCCGTAGCTATTATTAATATGGAAATGTTATATAATGTCATTTGATTTAAAAGCTATTTAATCCTGCGAAGTATGATTAACAGATCAGAACAGACGAAATTACTTAATGATTTTCTACGGAACAGCTCTTGGAGAAAATAGAATTACCCTAGAGTAAGTAGGGTTGGAGATAACATAGAAATTTTGGATTATTTGGAAGTTATCGCTCGTTACCCGCTCTGAGCGGATGGGAGCGAGACCGAAAAATGTGTAACAAGACTTTTTTCCAACATTTCCGTCTGCGCGTCGATGCTCACATCTTTTTCATATTTCATATATCACACAGCAAACGTCTACAAAAAAAGCGAAAAAAACTTAGTTCCGACCGGGGGTTCAATACGGCTTATGCTTTTGTTGTAGCAAGGGTTTCACATTTAAGAAACATATTCTAGATTAAGACGTCGGTACGTGACGTAAGTACATGTATAGTACTAAATCTTAAATGTTTTAGCTTATTTGAAACGTCTCGAGAGCCTGTTTAGAAGCTCGTCAACATGGGCATCAAAAAGGAGTTTGGAGTCATGGTGGTCGTTTAAATCTTAACAGTTTCACGTTTTGCAGTACTTGGCCTTTGAGCTTGTATGTTGATGGGATACTGTCGCGTTTTCTGCTTTATGAAACTACATAACATTAATTTGTGTGGTTTTAGTTACAGTTTGTTATGCTGGCAATACTCATCCAAACGCAATCAAGTCTTGTTGTAGATCCTACACGTCTTATAAATGATACTGATGAGGATTCCGCGTCGCATTGTTGTTGATTTATCTAAAGTAGTTTATAACTACAGTATTAATCTTCTTCGTTCACTGTCGGACCACTAAATGGCGTTTTGTTTGTGGATAAGTCAGTATTGATTTGTCGTGACAAATTGTATAGGTATTGAGAGTGTTCTGTTATGGTAGGAAGCGAGTTACTTTTGATCTTGGTCGGGTTAATCCTCGTCGGTAATTTAAATGTCAAAGTAAAATATTGAGTAGGGTTAATTTCTGGAAGCTTCGGGAACCGAAGATATATAAGTCCGGCTTTCAACCACGGGAGACACTCTGCTATCTCGTGTCTTCCAATCTTAAATAGTGTTCTGATTGTTGTGTGATTTGATTTTCGTAATATATTATCTGTTCAAAAGTACCCACGAAAGTTGTGAGTATGGTCTTAATTTTTCTTAAACCTATTTGTTTCTGGCACCTGATTAATTATATGAGTGCTAATCCATTCGTAGGGTCCCAGATTTCGGGGTCAAGACGGTCAGTCTCAGACGGCGTGCTTGCTCGTTTGTGGCCTTCTGGTTCAGACTCAAGTTTCTCGGTACCCTCTGGCAAGCTGGTGATTGCGCGGCTCACGACGCAAGCGGACAGCCGTACCCAAGGGTTACGTACTTACTTATAAACTTATAAATGCAAATTGTTGAACTTTTATCAATATCTAATATAAATAGCCGACTCGGGCGGAAGAGGAAGTAACCTCCTGGAGTGAAGACGAGGAGGCACCGAGCACCATCAGCTCGGCTCTGACGCGCTCCGCTGCGGTTTTTCTTATACCCTCTGTTTTTTTTTTATTGTAACCTTAATTTTGTTTTTTTTTTAATATACATGTATGTATGACTGAGGTGTAAGTTGTTTTTCTCTAAGGGGTCCCATAGGTATCCCACACGCACACTCTTCTGTTTATTAAAAGGCGCCCTGAGGTAATCTTGTGAATCTCTCCACTGGGTCAGCCGGTGAGTAGTCCGCCTGATAAGAAAAGCGGCTACAAGATTGGAAGCAAAAGTCATGTTACAAAGGTTGTGTTACATTAGGAATTGTATATAATATATGCATTTTCTTTCAGACATTTGTAGCTAAATATTCTACACAGACAGAGAGACAAATGAAAGGAAATATTTTCATATAAAGGGGACAATTCGAAATCGTTTTCAGACAATTAACAAAATCGTCTTTATCATTAAGGTAAAGACTTTTAGAAAAGAAAATTTAAAAGGTTGTTTTAAAATGGCTCCTTGCCAGTTTCAGATAACTTAATTTTTGCTAAGTTCGTGGTTAAAATTACTCTTTGGTACACATTTTCAGTCTCCGAGTTTTAATAGGGCAGGTTATTCAAAACGGTTGGCAAACAAATTAGGTTAGAACGTCTAATTACGAGCCGACTAGTAAATACTAATTAAGCTTACTTTGCATAGTAGTTGCCCTGTTAACAGTTTAAGGTAGTTCCTGTACTAAGCATGTTCTGTGTCGCGTTAGACTCGAGGCAATTAATTTTGGAACCATTTTGCAACCAATGTTAGTATTTAATGTTTCTAGTATAAATATTCAATAATTTTTTAGTCAATTTGAATAACTCTTATTTTATTCATAAACTTTATAGAAGTGACTACTTAAGGAAGGAATACTTAAGAAACTTATTAATTGTTATTATTAGTTCCCATGTTTTTTTTTCATAACTTTACTCTGACTGAAGTCTAAAACCACAAAGGACAACAAGAATACAGACGCCTTTGGGGCAGAAGTGTGTCATCTTCATCAGATAGCCTTAGATAAGCAATGGTTTTAAAGAAACTATATCACTGCAGCTGATTAAGGCCGTCCTGGCTACAAACGGATGAGAAAAGAAATTGCTTTAAATGTTCGATAAATACTTGTAGGGATACGATAAGTCTAAAAACATCGTATAAACCTTAACTGAATCCAAGGCTGTAGCCCGATTTGGCAGTGTGAAACATTAATATGTCATTTATTTATTTATGCTTCCAGTAATGACATTGACAATGACATATGTGCTAGAATGAAGGCCAATGAACAAGCGATTTCAGCAAACACAACATACGCATAGTGTTAACAAAAATGAAAACAGGAAACATGTTTAATTAAAATCTGAAAGCATACGAGCAGGAAACAAAGCGACCACGTAACAGGCACCACACACCCCGGACCGCCCGACACACGTCATAAATGTTTCTCACTGTTAAATCATGTACTTTTTTATGATTGAGTTGGTATTGTGTCTTCACTACAAAAAAAATTGGC